CTAACTCTGCCTGGAAGAGGGTGAAAATTGTTGAAGACTTTGTGGGGGAGATGGCATTAGTCTGGACATTGAAAGTCAAGTGGGATTTTCCCAGGTAGGGATAGACAAGAGCAGAAGGGGATCCCAAGAAGATGAGGTGGCGTGAATCAAGACCCTGGGTTGTGGAAGGGTGTGGTATGTCTAGAGGTACAAGGTCAAGTTTGGTTTGGCTGGAACCCATGGGGCATGGAAGGAATGGGGGGAAACCCAGTCAGCAAAGTGGCCTGTAGCCAGAACGTGAAAGCCAGACTAAAGAATCTCTTGTCTGTTTGCTTGTTTCTGAGAGGGAGTGAGGAGCCATTATAATTGGAGGTTTTGGAAAGTAATTTGGGCAGTAGAGGGGGAAGGGGTTGGAGAGGAGAAAGGTTAAAACAGTGGTTCTCAGCAGTGATGGGCAGTGTATCAGAATAACCTGGGAAGCTTTTGCAGGATACACAAGCCCAGTTTTTTCCTTAATCTTCTGTCTTTTCCCTCAACTGAGTTTCTGATGGCATATGAGGTGATGGGAAGGTAAATAGGGGTATTTTGAAAAAGCTTGGGGGGTGATACTGATACATTCTGCCCTCTGCTATTGCATTACTCTTACTCTTAAGTCAAGAGATGCTCCAGGAAGGCTGAGACAATGGAGATGAGAAAGGCTGATTTGAGGGATGCGTGAGAGTTGGAATTAATAGGATGGATTGGAGGAGGCTGTGGTGGAGAAGAAACATGAAAAATACTTAGGTATCTAGTGCGAGCAACTGAGAAACTATAGACTGAAGTGAGCTCACAAAGAGGAGAAGGTTTGACAAGATTGTGGACTCTACTCGAAGTATGTAGAATTTGAGGTCTCTGGAGGCATTTGGTAACATATAGGCTGGAGTTCAGGAGAGTTTAAACCACACACACCCAAGTCAATTATGCAGCAGGAGAAAACACCACATCAGTGTTTTTTAAAAGGCAACAGAAAACCAGAGACAAGGGAGATTGTGTTGGCTGGAGCAGACAGGTATGTCTTTGTGGAAAAGTGGAATATGAATTGCATCTCAAGGCATTAATAGAAAATTCAACTTCAAGCGATGAAGAGATTAAAAATGGAGATTATGTGCCAAAAGGTATGGGGTAAGAAGAAGAATGCTGTTTCAAAAGGGCAGGACAGTAATATAAATGACTTAATAATAGAACCTAATATACCCTCATTTATTTTTCACTCCTAGAAGGAGCCATTATTATTCACAATTTATAGATGAAGAAATGGGTTCAGAGAGGTTAAACAAATGACCCACATGAGGCCAAGTGGAACAGTGGATGCTTTAACCTAGACTCTTGTTCTGATCCGTGAGGTTACGTGTCCTTAAAGGCAGTGTTCATTTCTTATATGTTGTTAAATACCTCCTGGCTAATGTGTAGCCTGAAAATAGAGTAGACCTGCAAAAGATATCTGTTGAATTACAGAAACGAATCAGTTCTTTTGTGCGTCAGTTTATAGTTATTTGCCATCTACACTTAAGACTAAATGTGGAATGTAACATTATAGGACTGAACAGTACCTTAGTAATTTTCCAATCCAACCAGCTCACTTCATAGAGGAGGAAATTCATTCTCAAGAAAGGAAGTGACGTACCTGAAATCTCACACCCAGTTATTAGCAGAGCTGAGCCAGTACCTTGACCTCGATTTCTGTACCCAAGGCTTTTCTCTTGTAACATTCCATCCCAGGGAACCATAACACTTCTCCCTCTTCTGAGCTCTCCAAAGCTCGATGGAAATGAAAAACATGGATAGGACATAAGAGGTGATTTGATAGGTGAGAACTTTGACTGTCTTTCTAGCCATCCCATCCAATCTTGTATTTAATGGCATGAATAAGAGAAAGCTGACACAGAAATCAGACGCAGGAAGTAATGAGCAATTCTGATGAGAAAAGAACAAGCGTAACAGTGACAAACAAAGGTTAAGTGAAGTAGAGACTTCTTCCGTGTGTTGTCATGGAATGCTGTGGAGTCACCTGTGTTTTGTTATCTTTTAAGTGCAAAACATGGTCTCACCTACCCAGGACAGATGAGAAGAAATACCATCCCAGGCTAGAGAACTGATGAGGGAGCGGTGCAAGGCATGGTGGAAAGGGTCCAGTGCTGGGAGTCAGGACCCCTGGGGATGCTCATGAGCTGTGTGATTTGAGAGACTTTGCTCTTTCAGGTTTCTTATCTGTGAACGGGAGGGTTAGATTAGGTCTGTCTAGCTTTTGTCTGTCACTGGAGCTCTCAGCTAAACCTCTGCCCACAGCTGACGAGCGCCTCCTTGCCAGCGAGTGGGTTGGGGCAGTGACTTGGGGCGGCTCTGCAGTGTTGTGGATGCGGGCTCCTAGGGGTGAGCAGAACCCCTGGGGCTGCAGGAGCATTGAGCGTCAGCCTCTGCGCTCAGTCAACACGGTGTGGGTCCCCTTGGCTCCTCTGTTACCTTCAACTTGAGCTGCTGGTGTTCAGCGGAAACCCCACCTCAACCAGTCAGCAGCGGGGAGCCCCGTCTTCTCACCTGATCCCCGGCAGCCTGTCCCCGGGGGCTCAACTCTGCTCTGGGCCTCTGCCCTTTACCTACATTCTGGATAAGGACCATTGCTAGATCTCACTCTTTATCTACGTATCCCATCCTGCCTCTCGAGTTCTACCCCTTTGATTTTTTTTATGGCTCATTTTTTTTCTTTTAAAAAATTTATTTTTTAAATTAACCTACAGTGAAACTGACTTGCTTGCACAGTTCTATGAATTTTAACACGCGTATACATTCATGTAATCATCACCAAAAGCAGGGCACAGAGCAGCTCCATCAACTGCAGAAAATTCTTTCATGCTCCTCCTTTGTAGTCATCGTCTGCCCTCACCCCCAGTCCCTGGCAGTGCTGAGACGTTGATCGTGTTGTACAAATGGAATCATGCAATGGAACTTTTTCTTGAGAATGGCTTCTTTCACTCAACCTTCGAGGTTCATCAGTGTTGTTGTATGTATCCATAATTGGTCCTTTTTAAATTGCTGAGTGATTTTCCAGTGTATGGATGCAACACATTTGGTTTATCCGTTCACTGGCAGAAGGACATTGGGATGGTTCCCAGTTTGGGGTGGTTATAAATAGAGCTGCTATAAATATCCATGTACAGGTGTTTGTGTAAACATAAGCTTTCCCTTCTCTGGGGTAAACGCTGAGAAGTCACAGCGCTGGGTTGACCCCCTGAATTTTGATCACTTCCCACCTTTGAACTGGGTTTGCCCCTCCCGTTGGATTTCTGATACTGGGCTCACTCTGCCGCCTTCCTTCTTCCTCAGACGAGCGGGCCCATCTACCAGAACATTTCTGGTTCCCTCTCTTCCCTCCCGTGGTCCTCCTCTTTCTGGCTAGGAGCTGCCAGCACATAATAAAACTGGAGCCCATTTTGATGAGTCTAAATCTTTTTCGGCTCTGAATTTGTGGTGATTTCGATTATTGCACCAGTTTTGTAGTGCCCTCTGCTGGCTGATTCACAAAGCCGGCTTTAGGCCTATGCTAGGGGAGAACTTGTAGGTGCCACGGGAAAAAGAAAAATAATTGGGAAGGGACGTGGTTGTGGCGCACTAACATTGTCGTGACAGCCTGACGGGGACTCTTCCTGTATTTGATGCTACACATATAGAGAAATGCTGTAATATTTTTGTGGAACCCTCCAATATTGTGCCTGTCTTCTCAATTGTGGGCAAAGATGGGCTGTCTGGAAAGCTGGACTCAGCCTGGAGCCTGTTACCCACATTGCTATTTTGTGAAGATATCCGCATACAAATGACTCAGATCTAAACATTCAGAAATGCTCTTGGAGGGCCATCTGGTTCTTGTTGGTTCTAAAAGCCTCGTTCAGCCTGGTAGATGGATCCAGTACAAAAGATAGTGAGGGCTCTTCATTCAGGTTTAAATAGGTTCCACTGACCAAGAAGAGAAGCAGCCTTTATAAAATAGCTGGTACTGATGCTCCCAGAGCCGGGGGACGATGATTCTGCCTCGTAGGTCAGCGGGAGTCTGATAAATATTTAATTGATGATCATGCACTTGCACGGAGGCTTTGGAACACACACACACACACACACACACACACACACACACACACACACAGAAACACAATTTGGTATCATCATGGAACACGTGATAATTTGGTATCTGAAACAGGCTGGGAATTAGGCTGACCCAGCACGTCAGGCAGTGAGGTCTGTCCGAACCTCGGGATCCTCGTGATGTGTCACATTTAATTCGTGAAGACAGCGCTGCCAGCCTTGCAGTTTGAATGGTGGTGCTGATGGACTTGCCATTTGCACTCGCTAGCTACTGGCCTTTCTGATCAAAGGTATGGCCGTACATTCTGTGACCAAGGGACAGGGAGTGTCTCCTCTCTGGGAGGCTGACAGGCTTGGAAAGGGAGGGAATCCTGGGCTCTCAGCCTCAGCCTTGCGCTCCGACCACCTCCAGACAGAGACTGGGCATCTAGGGAGGAGGATGCTGGGTACCGGGGAACATGAATTGGAGGCAGCCGCATCAGGAAGCAAAACGCATGACATGGCGCTCGCTCCTTGATTAACCTTTTGTTTCTCTGAGCTTTACCTCTCTCATCTGAAAGTGGCACCAGGGGAGGTGTGCTGGCGCTTGTGCTTTCTTTAGTTTATGCAGACAAAACCACAGTATATCCTGTACTATGACGGTGTAATTCATACTTTAATGCTCTCTCACTCCTGAGGATGTCAAGTTATCGGAAGCAGGGATTGCATCTTACTTCTCTCTACCCTCCAGCTCAGCACAGCACTTGGCCCAAAGAAGAGGCAAAAAGGGAGCTTGGTGAATGCTGTGGGTAGAGGTGTGGCTTTTTAAGGGCATCCGTGAGTTTCATGAAGTTTAAAAATGTTGGGACTTTGGGAAAATCATTTCACCTTTGCCTCGGGTAATTTGTCTTTCTCGTGTGCCCTCTCAGTAGAGACGCCGGTGTTCCACATCCTGTTGGACTCATCTCTCCAGGACGGTAGCGCTCCGGGAAAAATTCCCTACCGAAGGGGAACCAAGAGCCTGGAGGATCTCTTAGAAAGAAACCGGTAAGTCTTTACCGGCCATTTTCTAAACAAATAACTACAAAGTTCGCCTCAGTATCCGCTGTCCTCATCTGAGAACACCAAGTGAAACCTCTTAACAGTCAAGAGTAAAAGTTAATGATGTGGAACTTTTTAGTTTGTCCCACTGTGTCTCTCCTACGACAATGGCACTTAAAATGATTTCTAACTGTTAATGGAGAAATTTTGCGTGATCGGTTTTTATAAACCATCTGGTGAGGCTTATGGTCTGCGAGGAAGGCTTGGCAGGACTCTGCAGGTGACCAGCTTTCTTCCACACGGGCTCCCCTCTCCTCTCAGTGTTCCACACTGTCACAGAGTCTTCACATTTTTGTGAGTGGTTTCTATCGGACCCTAAACCTAGCCTGGTCTCTTGCGGTGTAGCTGGGGCACCAGAGACTTAAGTTACCTCCTGATAAGTTTACTGATGATGGTGACTGCAGTGCCTGTATTTTTAAAAATTTTGGTAAAATATATATAGTATAAAAATTACCATCTTAACCATTTTTAGGTGTTCAGTTCAGGGGTATTAATTGCAGTCACATTGTCACGTTACCATCACCACGGTCCGTTCACAGAACTGTTTTCATCTCACAGAAGTGAAACGCTGCACTCGTGGATCAGTAACTGCCCATTCCTCCCTCTCCTGCCCTGGCAACTACCATTCTACTTTCTGCCTCTGTAAATGACAGGTGCTCTAAGTACTTCATAGAACTGGAATCATATAGTTTTTGGTGACTGGATTATTTCCCTTAGCATACTGTCCTCAAGGTTCATCCATATCGCAGCGTGTATCAGAACTTCCTTCTTTCTTGAGGTTCAGTAATATTCCATTGTATGTATATATCACATTTTTTTTCATCCATTCATCTGTTGATGGACACTTGGATCACTTCCACCTTTCGGTTATCGTGAAAAATTCTGCCATAAGCACAGATGTACAAGTATCTCTTCAAGACCCTATTTTCAATTCTTTTGGGCATGTACCCAGAAGTGAGATTGTGAAATCAAATGGTAGTTCTATTTTTAAGTTTCGGAGGCACCACCACACTGTTTCCCACACTGGATGCATCGTTTTACATTCCGCCAACAGTGTGCAAGAGTTTTGATTTCTCCGCATCTTTTCTAACACTTAAACTTTCGGTTTTTTTGATAGTATCCATTCTAATGGGTGCGATGTGATATTTCATTGTGGTTTTGAGTTGCATTTCCCTGATGATTAGTGATGTTGAGCATCCTTTCATGTGCTTATCCGCCATTTGTATGTCATCTTTAGAGAAATGCCTATTCAAGTCCTTTGCCCATTTTTGAACCGAGTTCTTTGTTTTGTGGTTGAATTGGAGGAGTTCTTTATATATTCTGGATCCCTTATCAGATACACAATTTGTAAATATTTTTCTCCATTCAGTGGGTTGCCTCTTCACTCTGTTAATCGTGTCATTTAATGCGTAGAGGTTTTAAATTTTGATGTAGTCCAATTTATCTCTTTTTTTCTTTTTCTGTTTGGCTTTTGATGTTACATCCAAGAAATCATTGCCAAATCCTGTTTCAAAACTTTTCCCCTACATTTTCTTCTAAGAGTTTTACAGTTTTCGGTCTTACATTTGGGTCTTTGATGTATTTTCTGCAGTGCTTGTTTTTACCCCTTCCTAGACACTGAATTTCTTGAGCACAGAGCCTGTGGCTGTTCATCTTTTTATTCTTAGCACTTAGAATATACCTGGCACATAGTAGGTGCTCAGTAAATTATAGTTGAATGAAACAACTTTATCAGACATGATGAGACTAAATCAAAGACTATATTTATAGTGATTTGCCATTTCCGTAATAATAATTATAGCAGACTGTCTTGGGGACCCAAAAAGAAATCTCTGAAATAAAAAAATGTCATACTGGTTTCAAGGGCTTTTTGGCATTTTATTTATTTACGTTTTCCTGAGGATGTTTAACGGCATATTTGAATATGTGTCGCACTAATTGTGTTCCCATCACACTTGACCCCTAGTGCCTTTCTCATGAGCCCTGTGCACAGTGAGCCACCGCCATGATGAAAACGATTGGTCAGGGTTCTTCTACCGTGCATGTGGGTCCCTGAAGCCCTGCATCAGCCAGCGGAGGAGGTGGGCACTGGATTGCTAGCTGGCCTTGGGGAACTTATTCCACACCTCTGTGTCTCCCTTAGTTTCCTCACTTATAAAATAAGAGTGTCTGCAAGTTTCCTTCTAGTTCTAAAATGATGAAAGTTTAGGTATTGGTGATTGATAGGACATTTCAAATAGGAATAGAAATTCCGCCACTTCTGGGAAGGAATAAAGACAAGATTCACCCCCATCCGGCCTCTCCCCGAGAACCTTCCTGCCTCAGAAACGACCTGAGAGTCGGGTAGAGAGACCGCTGTGCCACCTTTGCAGTTATGTTTCTGCTTATGCCACATGTGAAGGCAGGGAGGGCAGGGGCTGAGTCGAAAACAAAATTCCTATTATAGTTGTTGTTGTTGTTGAATCAAGGACGTCTTCTCCGCATCTCAGCCATTCCAGAGCCAGTTGTCCTGTGCCTGTATATGTGTGAGGCACAACCAGCTGGAAAGATAAGAGAGCTCTTGTTTACACTATTAGCTGAAACCAAGAGTACCATGCTATGCCCCAAACCCCATACATCCCACACGTTTCCTGGGTGGGTTTCTGTCATGGGAGAGGCAGTTACAAGTACAGCCTCCCTGGTGGACACCCTTGCAGGAGGTCGCCTGAGGTGTACCAGTGTCTGGCTCTGAGGCCTGTCTCTGCTGTGGCCATCATTTGACCTTTCTGAGTCTGGGTATCGGGTCATCTTTACGGTGCCAATCAAACAGCAAGGCCCGGCGAGGGCATCAGGGAAATCTGGGCTCGCACCTCTACTATTTCCATCTGAATGAGGTTTGGGAATGTGACTTACCCTCACTGGGAATGGGTTTCCACAAGTGTAGGGGTTTTATCTGCTGTTTTGCATAGAGAATTGGGTTGTCAAAAGAAGGGGCAAAACTAACTTCTACTGAGCACCTTCTGTGTGCTGCGTCCTGTGTTATATGTTTATATAAATTATCTTGTTTAATGCTCAAATGGCTCCATGAAGGAGCCGTTGTTAGACTCCTCTTAGGATGGGAAAATTGGTGCTTGGAGCGTTGAAGTGCCTTGTTCAGAGCCACACAGCTTATACACAGCAGGAACAGGACTCCAGCGCACATCTAAGTGATGTGGGTCTAAAGCCAGTGCCTTCCCCACATCATTAGACCTGGACGTAGAGTAAAGTGAGTGTGTTCTGCACTCATGGGGGCCCGGTCTCCCCTCCTTCCTCTGCTCACGGTGCTAATTTGCTTCCCTTTCGGGCTCCTGAGAAGGGGAGCTCTCTCAGCCTTTGAGTCTTCTGGCCTTTACCTTTGCTGAAGAGCAGATACCCCCTATTTTCCCCAGAAGCCATGTTTTCAAGCAAATGAAGTAACTTTTGGTTAAATTTGGGGGGTGGGGCCAAAATGATCCCCAATACAGAGATCCAAGCACAAGTAAGGTGCATCTACCCGTGCTCCTGCCTTGAAGTCATTTCCTTTCCTCCCTCTTCCTTTTCCTAAACATATTCTTCAAAACCTCGTTTTCCTTGGGGGCCCTGGTAAGTGTGATCATGTCCAGATTTCCACGCTGGGGTCTGGGGTTCACAAAAGGCCAAGTTGACATCCATTCTGCGTCTGGCTTATTTGATGCCAGAGGAGTGCTGGGGTCTCCTGAGAAGCCAGGAGAGATTTGCTTCCTGCAGAGGTTTGGATAAGCCCCAGCTAATCTCCATGGCTTCTTAAGGGCACACCTGCTTGTCTGCCAGCCAGCAGCCTCCTCGCTCATTTCCCGTGGGACAGCTGGGGTCAGAGGGCCTCCAGAGAGCCTTTTATCCCCCGCCGACCCACCAGGCCCCCCTTAGCAGCACCTGGGTCCACACAGAAGACTTCCTTTGAGGGGAGGTTGAGACGTCCCTCCCCGAATGGGATCTGGTGCCCTTTTCCTTCCTTCTAAAAAAGCATTTAATTCAGGCTTTATCATGCATGGCTCAAACTTTATCTCACTGGGGTGAAGCTGATCTGAATTAGTTTCTGGGCTGCTGAGCTGTGAACACGTAATAGGTGCTCAGTAAATAAAGATGATGTCTGATTATGATCTGCTTGGCATCCAGGAAAGATACACGGTCAGCTTTCCCTGTGTTTCATCCCCGGAACGTAATAGTAACACTGATAATATTAAAATGGCAGAGAATTCAAAAGTCATTTCTGTTTAGCCGTGGGAGTTAGAGGATCTCTCCTCCCTCTTTTCCCAATGAAAATTGCAGAAAGTGAGAATCAAAACAATGGATACTTCCTTTCCTCCCAAGATGGACTCTCCCCTGGACCAGCAGTGGGCACTGTGCATGCCCTCACCCCATCTTATTCAAGCACAGTAGACAGCTGTATCAATAAACAGCTATATCAGAAGGGATTGAGAAAGAAACTGAGCTTTTCGTTTCTAAAAGTTTAAAATTTTAGTTTCTAGTTTAGTTTCTAGTGGGTATGTGTATGTGCCAAGCTTTCTGTGTAGGTCATCTCAGTTGGTCCTCACAGCACCACTTTGAGGTTGGTAGCATCATCCTGATTTTAAAGATGAAGAGACTGAGGTACAGAGAAGAGAAAAGACTTGCTCAACTTCACCCAATGGTGAAGTCATGGTTCTTCTTCAGATCTGGATGGCTCCCAGGTCCCTGCTCTTTCCCTTTCACTCTGTGTTTCCCAGGGGTGGAACAATCGTGAACGCATTACATCTGCTCATCTGAGATCCTTTCCCAAATAGCCATTATCCACAAAAAGTTCTTTGGACATGAAAAGCTTCTCACTAAGTCTGGAAATGTGGAATCAGCTAACCCAAACCTTCAAGTAATTGGAATGATTCTTCTATATTTCAATTTTAGTTGAAAGAGAGAAAGGAGTGGCAACCTAC